AAGCCACCACTTCACACACCCCCACCAAGATTTATAGAAAGACGACAGCTCCGACCACGCCTTACTCGCAACAAGCACGAAGCCGAAAACATCAGCCTGAAGATGGCGAGTGAGACCTTGCCAAAACGTTGCCAAGACAATTTCAATCTTTCATGGGAAAAGACACGAATGAATGAATTTGTTTCCTCTCTAATTCTTAAAGGTTGAGATAAGGAAAACAAGACAGAAAAAGAAATTCTATTAAAAATAACCCACTTAAAAGCAGGAACTTTACACTACGAGTTTCCTTTTAGTTGCACCTGGATTTATCTTGCTTTTTCACCCCTGCTTACTCAGGCAGCCCTCATATACAGGTAGTCCTCAACTTATGATGACTGTCAGTGAAATAGTTGCTAAGCAAGACAGTTGTTAAGTGAGTTTCGCCTCAGTTTATGACCTTTCTTGCCACAGTTGTTAAATAAATCACTGCAGTTGTTAAATCAGTCACACGGTTGTTAAATGAATCTGGATTCCCCATTGACTAGACTTGTTAGAAAGCCACAAAAGATGATAACATGACCCTGTTACATAGCAACCATCATCAATACATGTCAGTTGCCATGTGTATTTTGATCACATGACAGTGAGGATACTGCAATAGTCATAATTTTAACTTAACAATCATTCATTTAGTGACCATTCAGAATTACAGCAGCACTAAAAAACCTGACATGACCGTTTGTTTTTTTTTGCACTTAACGATGTTTGCAACGTGATAAAAATTCAGTCACGTGATCAAAATTCGGACGCTTGGCAACCCACCTGTATGATGGTTGCAGTGTCCTGGAGTCATGTGATCCCCTTTTGTGACCTTCTGACAAGCCCCATCAATGGGGAAGCCAGATTCACTTAACAACCAATGGTGTGATTCACTTAATAAGTGCAGTGATTCACTTAACCGGCAAGAAAGGTTGTAAAATGGGGCAAAGTTCAGTTAAAGTCTAAGGTAGCAACAGAAATGTTGGGCTCAATTGTGGTCGTAAATCGAGGACTACTGTACATGTACTGTACTTTTTTGCAGTGTTTCCCAACGTTGGCCATTTCTAGGGGAGGGACTTCAATTGCCAGAATTCTTCTTGATGGATTTGCTAGCAGTGGAATTATGGGAATTGAAGTCCACAATCTCAAAATGGCCGACGATGGGAAACGCTGCTTTGCTGTTTCCGGTTTGTTTCATTTTGTGGTAGATTATTCAAAGATTGGGGCAGTTGACAGATGTATTAAGAAAGCCAATAAATAAATAAACCTTTTTGAAAAAACTGTTTCTGGTTTGTGGTTTTTCTCCAGGCAAGGAGGTCAAACACACCAAAAATAGGAGGTGGGACTTTGCAGTCAAGCTGAGGAAACCAGTCAAAGCTAGATGACAATTTGTTCTTGATGTATGAAGTTATTGAAAGCAGGAAAGAATGAAACCAGATTCAGAGAGTGTGAGAAGGGTTCCCTGCAGGGCCAATTCACTCAGGGATGCGCTGTGCGGGCATGCACACAAATGCATGGTGCAACAAAAATTGCTCTGCGCATGCGCAGAAGGCAAAAACAAGATGGCGTTGCCTATGGCGCCACCCAGATAATTGGTTTGGGGGCGTGGCAGGCCTGGGTCACTGCCAGTTCCAGCACCCCAAGCCGCCACCAGCAACCCTGGTTCCAGCAACCAGGCCAGTTCAGACCGGTTCAACCAAACCGGTCCACCTCTGATTCCATGTCTTGTGTGTTTGCTCTTGAATGGCTTGTTTGCCATGAACAAAGTCCATTTCTGGCTGGACTGTATGCAAATGTTAATTTACAAACTTCACTCTACAACTTTATTTAAAAGTTAATGGCGCGCCAAAAGGGAAACTGCTTTTTTATTCTATTCTGTGCTGTGTAATTTTAGCCTTACTCAGACTAGTAATTGAATACCCTTATGCTGAGTCATTCGATGCTGGGCTAACATTGGGGAGAAAATGTGGTTCAGTTCCTGGAAAAAAAGATGCCATTTGTAGTATTTATTCCTGTTTCTTTTTCTTTGATTAGTAGCGGAGGGAAGTTTTCTGCTCTTCTGCAGAATCTGGGACCTGAGAATGCTGTAAATCTCCTAGTCTTCGCGGTGACAGAACATAAAATCCTCATCCACTCTTTACGCCCTTCTGTCCTCACCAGCGTAACTGAAGCCCTGGTCTCTGTAAGTTGTAAGAATTTCTCAAACAAGTATTTTCAAATTAAGATAAACGGAAAAGGAGGCTTCAGAGAAGCTTCCTGAAGGCTCCAGAGGGCGAAAAACGGCCCTATGGGCAAACTGGAAGTCCGTTTCCAAACTTCTGGTTTGCCCGTTGGGTTATTTTTCACCCTCCAGAGCCTTCAAGGAAGCCTCTGGAGGGCGAAAAATTGCCTTAAAGGAAGGCCGAAGTCAACTGGCCAATACCACATGCACACTGAAGCTGACAAGACAACACCTCGAGTGCCCTCACAAATGGCTCTGTGTGTCACATTTGGCACGCGTGCCATAGGTTCACCATCACGGGTATAGGGTCTCTACTTGAGCAGGGGGTTGGACCAGAAGACCTCCAAGGTCCCTTCCAGCTCTGTCATTCTGATGTTCTGGTTCTGATGTTCTGTTGGGCCTTTGCTCCCTTGTCTAGGATCCAGAGCTGTTTGCAAAACTCTTCAGCTCGGGGTTTTTAGAGTGCTTTGCTCAATACCAGCTGCAGATCAAACTGAGCAGGAGGTTTGAACACCATTAGTGGAGCAGGTGGGAAGGCCAATTGTTCAAAGAAATGAAGTCAAAAATTCCACTGAGCTAGCACAAGCCCCTCCTGCCCTCCGCTTCACGCTGAGTGTCATGTTTTAAACATTTTATTTGTTCTGCTTTCACCTCCTGAGGATGTTTGTACAGATGGCTACGGAGCCGTATTATTCATCTAGCTCAGATCATTTGCACAGCTTTGTCAAAGGTTCTTCTCCATTCCGTACAGATTAACAGAGATAAATAAAACATCCTTTTGTTGATGGAAAAGGGAGGTATAAATCTAATATATAAAATAGAATATTATTAGAATACAATAGAAAATAGAATAGAATAGAAATGGAATAGAATAGAATAGAGCCGTATTATTCATCTAGCTCAGATCATTTGCACAGTCCTTGTCAAAGGTTCTTCTCCGTTTCGTACAAATTAACAGATAAATAAAAGGGAGGTATAAATCTAATGAATAGAATAGAATAGAATAGAATAGAATAGAATAGAATAGAATAGAATGACAGAATTGGAAGGGATCTTGGAGATCTTCTAGTTCAACCCCCTGCCTAGGCAGG